CTGCTCCTCCGATGCTGCTTGGCCTGCTGTGTTCATCCAGTTCTACACCTTGTTAGCTCTAAATTAATGTTGATTTTAATCTATTATCTAGAATTACTAAAAAGTGTGCTTTCTCTGCCACCTTGTGGCAGATTTGGCTTAGTGCTACACACATTCTGATCCTTCAGTTTTGTTCTATTTTCAACTTATTATCTTTCTCCATCTTGGTTATTGCATTCTCCTGTTATGCACATAGCCTACAACTGTCTTGTATACCTGTGTACTTTCTTTTGCATTTTTTCTCCCATCCCTGCTTCGCTTTTGTTTCAAAAATGTTATTAATTACACACCTAGCTTTGTCTGATTTGCAAGACATTGTCGATTTGCAATTGACTTTGAAAGTGAACAGATTGAGGATTGAATTTTCTACTTGATATGGATGTCACTCTCAGGTTGAACTGGATTATGATGGTTGAATTGATAGTCATAGTTATGAAGAAGTAAAAACATTAAGGAGGAGGAGAAGAAATATTGGACTCAATGTTAACGCTTGTTTTTCTCTCAGATGCTGAGTTTCTCTAGTACCTTCTATTTTTAGAACATTAACGAGGAATTTGATTGAGTTGAAGGAATGAAAATTGTTAAAGGAGAGATGGGAAAGTTGGTTGGACACTATTAGCACTTTTTTTCCAGGTTACACCATTATTGCATTTAAAAATTGAATAGCTTCATTTGTATATTAGCACTTAGTTTCAAAATAAGTGAGAATCTAAAAACTTTAAAAAGACTGTGCTATGTGTTGATCATTCTTCTTCTTCTTGTTTGAATTCCAGGGGTTATTCCTTAAACATTCAGTTTTGGGTATTCTTTATCTCCATAATATTTTAGTGAAGATGCATTCCTGGACCAACTATAATCTACTCTGAGCTTTCCTAAACACTCTGTCTATAGAACAGCAGTGACAACATCTCAAAGTGTAATACATTGACAGTGAAGTGTTTTGGCAAGAGCTACATAAATTGAAGTGCATTTATTCTTTTACGTTTTAAAAAAAAAATAGAGTTCAGTTTACTTGTGCCCATTCCAAATATGACTGTTGGCATCTGTCTCATAGATGTATTTTCAAATTGTTGTAATTTTATTGAAGGAATTTTAGCAGTAAATTTCTTCTCAGGAAATGTGACGGCACAATTTTCAGTCAGTTTGGATTATTAACTTGTAGGCAGTATATTTTACATGGAAACCGTTTTTAGCTTTAATATTTTGGGATTACAGGTCATTGTCAGAGGCGATGTCTGTGGAAAAGATTGCTGCTATTAAAGCCAAAATTATGGCAAAGAAACGTTCCACTATCAAGACAGATCTGGATGACGACATTGCAGCTTTAAAGCAAAGAAGTTTTGTAGATTCTGAAGTAGACGTAACCAGAGATATTGTCAGCAGAGAGAGAGTATGGCGAACAAGAACTACCATTCTCCAAAGCACTGGAAAGGTGAGTTCAACTGAATGAAGCTACCTTCTTGCTTAGTTTTTTTTCTCTTCCAGTGCCCCTCTGTTATCATCCATCTGTTGTCATCTTCTGACTCTGGTTTCAATCTTTTCTACCAACTGTGACCACTTGCAGCTGCTTCTCATCCTGCTCCCACACTGTTACCTCTGAGTACACAAAAGAACAATCCTTGGACCCCTCCTATTTCTCACCTACATACTGCCCCTCGGTGACATCACCCAAAGGCACAGTGTCACCCAGGTCTACCTCATCACCACCTTTCCTCAGTTGTTGCTAAATTATCAGACTGCTGATCCAACATCCAATACTGGATGAGCAGAGATTTCATTCAATTGAATATTGGGAAGACCGATCCATTGTTTTATTCCAAACTCCATCCACTGAATACTGATTCCATCCCCCTCCCTGACAACGGTCTAAGCTTAAGTTGATCTGTTTGCAGTTTTGGTGTCACGTTTGATCCCAAAGTGAATTGCAGTTCTTTTATTCATGGCATTACTGAGACTGCATATTTTTGGCTCCATGACTGTGGTGATTGTAGCAAGGTCAGCCAGGTGGACACAATAGAATGAGTTCCCTGATTGGACCAGGTTAGCAGCTCCAATCACGAAGCCCCAGCTGACAGACGTAACAAGGAGTGTCAGAGGTTCTGTTCACTCTGCGAGCTGGCTGTAATGAAGCTGGATCGGTGGCAAAGACTCTCCACATGTAAATAAAAGGTGACTCGGTGACAGGATACCAGTCTCTCCAGAGTTATTTCAGACTTTAGCCCACTCACAGCCCATTTGCTAATGCTAGTACTGTTCCAATACATATCTGGCTGCTCTCCCATGTTCTACCTTCCCTAAATTTGAGGTCAACTATAATTCTGCTACTCGTGTATTAACTTGAAGCAAGTCACGTTCCCCTACCACCCCTGTGATTGCTGACTTAAAATAGCTCCCAGCCAAGCAGTGTCTTGATTTTAAAATTCTCCTCCCAGTTTTCAAATTCTTCTCTAGCCTTGCCCCTTCCTGTCTGTTTAATCTCCTACTGATAGATAATGCTCCAACATCTGCACCATTTTAATTCTGGCCTCTGGTAGGCCCCCAATTTTAATTGCACCACTACTGATTGCTATCAATTCAATTACCTTGACACCAAATCTCTGGAATTTTTCCCTACATCTCTGTGCCATTTTACTTCTCATTCTTTTAAACTGCAATGAGTATACGTCCAGATTGCTCAACCTTTCCTCATTAGACAACTCCTGCATTCCAAGGATCAGCTAGTGAGCCTTCTCTGAACTGCTTTCATTGCAAGTACACTCCATTCGTAAGTAAGGAGATCAAAACTCTATGGTGATACTCTAGATAAGTCAGGAAAAAAATCCATTTGCCTTCGTAATTGGCAGAGTAGATGTAGAGAAGAAATTTCCTCATGTGGGGCAATCTAGAACAAGAGGTCATAGTTTTAGGTTAAAGGGTAACAGATATAAAACAGCCATGAGGGTTATGAATCTGTGAATTTCACTACCCCAAAGTGCAGTGATGCGAGAACATCGACAATGTTCAGACGTTTGAATATAGGAGTTGGAATGTCATATAGCGGTTGTACAAGACGTTGGTGAAGCCTCTCCTGGAGTAGTGTCCAGTTCTGGTCACCCTGTTAGTGGAAAGATATTATTGAACTGGAGAAGGTTCAGAAGAGACTTATCAGGATGTTGCCAGGAATGGAGGGTTTGAGTTATAAGGAGAGGTTGGATAGGCTGGGACTTTTTTCACTGGAGCATAGGAGGTTAAGAAGTGACCTTCTAAAGATTTATAAAACCATGAAGGGTATAGATAAGGTGAATAGCAGTGCCTTTTCCCTAGTGTGGGGGATTTCAAGACTGAGGGCATATTTTAAGGCGAGAGGAGAGATTTCAAAAAAGACATGGGGGCAATTTTTTTTAAACAAGAATGGTTCATGTGTGGAATGAACAGCTAGTAGAATTGGTGGATGCAGGTACAGTTACAATGTTTAAAAGACAATTGGACAGGTACATGAGTAAGAAGTGTTTGGAGGGATATAGGCAAATGCAGGCAGGAGGGACTAGTTTAGTTTGGAATTGCGGTCGGCATGGACTGGTTGGACCAAAGAGTCTGTTTCTGTGCTGTATGATTCTGAATTAGATGGATTTTTAATTAGTACGGAATGGAGCCTTGTGGATTGTGGGCAGGAAAATGGAGTTGAGGCTGAGGTGAGATCAACCGCAATCGTGTCAAGTGGCAGAGTATGCTCGAGGAGCTGAATTGCAATCTACCTCTCCCAGTTCTTATGTTCTTGTGTAATTAGTTGCTATACCTGCATGCTTACCTTTTGTGATTTATCTACAGTTATTATTACAGTATTATTACAGCATGATTCAGTATCTCTCTCCATTTAGATAATATTCCGTATCCTGCCAAAGTGAACAACCACGTTTTCCGACATTACATTTCAACTGCCAATTTTTTCTCATTCGTTGAACACATCTTAACCCTTCTACACACTCTATTTTGTATTTGCTTACAACAAGCTTTCCTCACTTACTTTGAATCATCAATAGCTTCAACTACAATACAGTCAGTCTCTTCATCCAAGTTTATAGTATAGATTGTAAATAGTTGTGGCAAACTTGCACAACTTTGGTTGTAGCAACTCGCTCAACCATTTTGCAAATCAGAGCGAGGAAGGCATGGTGCTAATGTAGACAAATATACTTCAAAGGCCCAGGCCCTAGGGACATGAGTTCAAATGTCACAACAGCAGCCAAAGGAATCTAAGTTCAGTTAATACATTTGGAACCTAAAACGCGTTTCAGTAATGCTGCCGTGAAACTACAATTAATTGGTTTTTACAACAATCAGCCAAACTAACTAGTCTGGTCTGAATTTAGCTCCACATTCACAGTAATATTTGACTCATAATTTCCTCAGAAATGGTCTAGCAATCATTTGGCTCAAAGTCAGGGTCCTCCCAATTCTTTGTTGGGCTTACATGCATTTGGGTTGAAGTTCTTTTCAGATGAGTGTAATACAAAAGTTTTTTTTTTTGCAGCAACAATATATTATTTTAAAATGCTACTTAATAGAAATATTGCGGAAGATTACCAGATGACTGTTGTGAAAAATGGATTTAATAAATCAGGTTTCAATTGCAAGAATTTCTAATGGATATTGATCATATAAAGTCAAAAATTAAATGTTTGTGTCACTTAGTCTGCATGGTGTTCACCCTGTAATGGGCAAAAAAATATGAGGACACTTGTGAAAGAAGACTTTATTTTTGAGGAAGTACGCACTGGTTATACATGAAGCCTGAGGGATAGCAAATGCTGTTCTGATCTGCAGAAAGTAATGAGAGTCTGGGATTTACAGACTTTTAGTCCCAGTGATGGAGAAAATGCTTAAGAATTTTACAGAATGTTGTTGAATGTTCTTAGACACTACTGGAAGTAGTCGCTGGAGATTAGGGAGCAGGAGGTCAATTTTAAGAATGCTTTGAGGTGATTATTCTATTTGTTGGGCACTGGCTTCTGTAGCTTATTAGTTTTCAGCAGCATTTACTAAACATTTGATTTAAATTTAAAACAAAATTTGTCATGTAGCTGAAAACACTATAGGTTACCCCTGTCAACTGAACTGAATGTAGATGGAGCAACAGATGGTAATAAATTGCAGAAGTTTGAGTTTGAATACGAGATATCTTTGGTCCTTGAATTGCATTATCATTGCAGTAAATTGTGCAATATTTTTGGATAATGTAAACAGCTCAAACAGCTGAAAAACTTAATTGTTTTGGTTTCCTTGCTGAAATTTCACAACACATAATAGAGATATCCTTGTAAAAACTGGAAGTATTCCAGGGAAATGCCCATTTGCGGCTATCTGCTACTGATTTTATCAAGTCAATTTACAAGAGTAAAAGATCTTCATTGTTATGGAAATAAATTGAAAAAGTAGGTAGGGTGACAGCTGTTGGCCCATTTTAGTCTGATGGTATTGATGTTCCCAACTTACTCATGGCTTTATTTGCTGCTGATGGATAGAAGCAGGCTGGAGTTGAGAGAGCACTGTGTTTAAAAAAAAAATCGAGATAAAAAGATACAGTCTTCACTAAACTGAGTTTTTTTTCTGTTCTCTACTAAAATTAAGTCCACGATCCAAATCCTCCAACGTCCAGAGCAGTGAAATCTAAGCATAAGTCTGTGTATTTGGGGCTCCTGTCCAGGCCTGATCATACTTAATTATTACAAGGCTTGACACCTTTGAAATTCCACCTGAATATGAAAGCATGTACCACTTAAAAACAGAAGAAAGCTGTGTCCTCACCTATTGATTCTCCTGCACTTATGGGGCTTGCCCTTGAAAGTTTGTGATGGCCCATTTCCGCATCAGCTAGAATTGGAAAGAAGCAGTTTAAGACCCAGAAAATGACTGACTGGAAGATTTGGGCTTATTACAATTCAATTGACAAATTTCTAGAAGTGATGAGAAGCGGTGACTTTTTTATGCCCAGTTGTTGGTGTGTTCTAATGAATTTTGATACAAAAGTGTATCAGCTTTGAATTTCCTGCTAATGTTTTGTGTAAATATGGATGAATTTTACACTGAACGGTGATAATGTACACTTCTTTTTTTATTATGTTGCTTTAACATGCGTTCATACCACCATCTCCTGCTCACTTGCATAACCCCATGTGAAGTTCCTGAATTTATTTGAATAATGCAATAAGCTAGATTATATTGAAAGATTTAGGCGCAGCACTGCTGTTAGACACCCAGTATAAGTAACTGAGATTTCTGGAATGTTACAATTAATTTCTTTATTTTTAGAGGTAGGTTTCAGTGGGGCCTGTACAATTTAGTCACGTTTGCTGAAAACACTAGACTGGGAGAAAAGGTGGAGTCTGAAAAGATACCTTAGGACAAGCAAAATTAGTTGAACAGAAGGGTAAGTGGAACAAAGGTGCATGAAAT